TCTCTTTCTAAGCCTTCGCTTCCAGATAATTCAGACCCCCACGACATCCAACCAGGAGATTGGGTCTGGGTCAAGAAAATTCAACCTGCTTCTCTTGAACCCAGATGGACTGGACCATTGCCAGTGATCCTCGCCACCCCAACAGAAATGACAAGGAAACAATGGTTTGATTTCTTCTAAAAACCAGTGGAGAATGTGTTGACATGTTTATAGCTCCATAATTGATGATTGGTAAAATCACTGTGTGCCCTCTAGCTGAACCTGTTTTGTAAGGAATTTACTTAACAGGATAAAGATCCAAATAACCTTAGTAAATTGGAACATCCCCTGCCCAAGAAATGTCAGGTTCCCAGACACTGGACCAAGAAATGTCAGGTCCCCAGGCACTGGACCAAGAAATGTCAGGTTCCCAGATTAGCCAGGTTAGCCAACTGCCTAACTGCATATTTTCGTTACTGTACGTGCTTGCTTGCTCTGCCCAGTACAGACTGGAATGTGGTTTTAAGCTTTAAAAGATGTGTGTGTGTGTGTGTAAGGTCGGGGCTGATCTCCGAAGACTCTGTCACAGGGATGTTCGGAATCAGACACTGGCCGGCTAATAAACAGTTCTTATTTGGATTTCGGTTCTCTAGTGGTCTTTCTTTGAATCTGTCGCGCCACAACACAAGAAAGATCGATCAATTTACATTCCCACTGAGCTTCTATCCTACAATTCCTCCATTACAGGACTAAGGGTTTAAGCAAGGTCTTTTATTTTTAAAAAGATTAAGAAACTTTACAGAAAAATAAACTTAAGAAAGTTAAACTATGAAATGTTCTCATCATGGCAGACTCTTCTATTATTTAGTACTCATAGGTTTCTTACATAATTGTAATCCACTGCGTCCATGGTACTTTGGGTTCTTCTTTTTTTCACTGCAAAATATTTCCTACCTAACAATATAGTTCACATCCTGGTTATCTTCAATCCCTCTGTAATTCTTCAGTGTGCAAATATCTCCCAGTGAGCTTGATGATTTTGTTATTGCCAATACTTGGTCATCTCCAGTTTTTGCTATTAAGTTTGTTATGAACATCTTTGCAGTCTCCTGCCTCCACTTTCCCAAGATCAAAAAGTACAAATAATTTTATAGCTCATTACACATTGTTGGGTTGCCGGGCAAGGTACTTTGTGTTTTGTTGTCTTTTTAAGAAAAGTTGGTTGTACAGAGGGAGCAGCTGTATGGACCATCTTTCCTGAGCAAGGTACAGTGGCCTGGCGTCTTAACTGGAAGCCAGATCACCTGAGCTTCCCCATGGGAATTTGGAAAGTCCCTTCCCCATTCCGAACCTCAATTTTCTTATCTATAAAATGAGAGATATGGATCGAATGGATTAAGATCCTTTTCTTCCAGAAATCTAGCCATATTTCCCCCAGTATGTTCTACATCACCCTGACTCCTAGGGGCTCAGACTTTGTTCAGAGCATAGGATAAATCTCTGCTTCCTTTCCCTTGTCTGCAGAGTCCCATCACAGTGTAATCGGAGGAGAGACACAGCAGAGCCTCGGGGTTCAGAGCACAGGCTGGTTTTAATCAGCCTGCCACGTACCAGCTGTGTGACAAAATAACCTCTCTGTGGCTCATTTTCTCCACCTGTAAGTGAGGTTAACAACAGTTCCTACCTCATAGGGTTGCAATGCGAATTAAATGAGTTAATGTTTGCAAGACACTAAGAACGGTTGCCTGGCACTAGTAAGTACTTTACAAAATGTTTGTTGAATAAATAAAATGTAGCCTGTAAACTCGGGATCTCCTCATACGGAAACAGCTCCTTGGCTGGTGCCCCTTGCCTCTGGGTGCTCTTTACTGCTTCCTAAAGCCCAGAAGGCTGAGCCCCAAATCTCTAGGATTAAAGTCCTCCTACAGCCCAGCTGCCTCCAAGATGGAGTAGAGGCCTCACCTTGAAGACTCAGGCTCTTCACACAGGGCTTTCTAGAAGTCTCCGCCACTTCCTTTTATTTCAAGATCCCAGTGACTTTGAAACAGAACAAAAATAAAAAGCAACAAGTCTAGCAGGGTTACAAAAATTGAGGGGCATTTTTGATGTTATACCGAGCAAAGTAAAGCATTAACATTCGCCGCCGCCACCACCCAATAAACAATGATTATGCTGTTCACAAGATAATTGCCAAGGGTTCTCAGAGTGATACTTCAGGTCACACAACACAACAGGTGGAACAGCGTGCAGAGACAGGGGTTTATCAGATGCCACCGCGGGAGGGTCAGGGTCTGGACACTGGAGAGAGCGTTCACAGACTAAAGACGATGCCGGTGGGACAGCCTCAGCCTCGGGACAACCCTCCCCACCCACCTTACCACGCTCCCTAAACCGACCAGACAGACAACTTCCTCGCTGCCCCGACCCCGGCCTGCGGCGGAGCCCATTCCTGCCTAGAGCCCCAGGCCGCCCACTCACTTGGACCCCGCACCGAGGAGCCTCCACCCGAACCGTTATCCTGGCCGCGGCGCCTCCTAGGAGCGAAAACCGCGAGTCGGGAAGTGGGATCCAGCAGCGACCCCGGTACGGCGCCCGCGAAGGGATGCGCATCCGCACTGGCCCCAGGACAGCAACTCCCCGCCCTCACTGCGAGGCGGCCCTGCGCCGCGCGGCTCGACCAATGGGAGCGCACGCAGCGGGTCGGGCAGTCGGGGCTGCGGGAGCTGAAAACCCGGCGCGCGCTACCCGCGAGCCCCGAGCGCGTGCCTGATCGCTCCTGCCCAGGCTGCGCGCGAAATCGCCAGGCCCGATGGCCCCCGAGACCCCAGCCCAGGGGCCGGCACCGCGCTACTTCACCTGGGACGAGGTGGCACAGCGCTCTGGGCGCGACAAGGAGCGGTGGCTGGTGATCGAGCGGAAGGTGTACAACATCAGCGAGTTCACCCGCCGGCACCCCGGAGGCTCCCGGGTTATCAGCCATTACGCGGGGCAGGATGCTACGGTGAGCGCCGCCAGTTGTGGATACGGGAGGAGGCGGAGCCCGGCTGCAGCGGCTGGAGGCTCAGTGCGCGAGACAGGAAGTCTGGCGCCCAGGACCGTTCGCCAACTGATCGGGAGAAAGCCGGAGGCGCCCGAGCATGCCCGTTGTCCAGTGATTGGTGTGCTGTGGACACGGGATGCAAGCCCAGGAGAGGCTGTGAAAACGAGTCTGGGAGAGGGGATGGAGGCCGAGAACGTACACACACAAAGGGCCGCGCGGCCCTGCCTGCGTTCCACTTCTGTGGCCGCGAGCCTAAGATCTAAAGGCGTGGGCGGACCCCCAGCCGGGCTAGGAGGGAGGAGAGCGAGGATGCCGGGCGCCGGGTCCACGGCGCTGCTGCGGCCGAGGGACGGAGGGATCAGTGGCAAAGGGTGTCTGTCGTTGGTGCTTGGGGGGGAGGGGGAGCGCGGTCGCGTCTGGACTTGGCGTGCTGGGCTACACTCGCGAGCGGGAGCAGGAGAGGGAACCACTCTCAGATAAAGGGCTGAGGCAGGAAGCCACCTGGCGCCCGCTGTGTTGGGAACCCCAGCACAAGGTGAAGGCAGGAGGGGCCGCACCGGCCGGAGAGGGCTAGCAGCTGTTCCTGCATAGTGGGGAATGGGAGTGGCGTGCTGAAGGTGGGGGGCCTGCACGAACATATTCTGGGCCAGGACCTCCGAGTAGCCCTGTGAGGTGGTCACTCAGCGGCAGGCAAGGGAGGTCTCCAGCTATTTGCCGCGGCTGACAGCTTTTTGTATTCCAGCTGTAGTCCTGGTGCTGGGTCGAAACCTTCCTCCCTTGGGCCCCCCATCGGGGTTGGCACACCCCCATGCCTGGTCCTTCCACCTCCCTTTCTAGACCACCCAGTTCTCAGAGCTGAGGCACCTGATGCCTTCCTGCTGGGTTGGAGAGCTGGGGATCACTCCTTGGGACCCAGAGGTTGGAGCGTTAGCTTCGCCTAGTCCCCTTCCCCTACATCCTTCTCCCATTCTGCGGCCAGCGGCTTGGCCTCTTCCGCTGTCCCCACCCTCTGTCCTTGCCATCCCAGAGCTCCATGAAGGCCATCAGGGTTCCCATTACGTCGCAGAGGAGCACAGGCGCTTCAAGGTGAGGGCCTGCCCCTCCTTCACGGCCGGCCTGGGGGACAAGGCCAGAGCCTGCGCTTGTCACCGGAATAACGACTGAAGAGCCCAGACCTTGGCCGCAGTCCAAGGCTGGACCGGTGCATGCGCAGAAGGAGCAGGCATTGACGCCAGGCCCTCCTGCAGTGTGATTTGGAGCTCTGGCCGGCCTTGGCTGGGACAGCGATTGGTCCGGCTGTGTGGCGCCACCAGCTGCAGGCTCCGCCCTGGTACCCGCCTTTCCTGCGGATTCCCCCAGGCCTAGGGCCTCCGGACCTAAGGAATTGATCGTGGATCTTATCACCAAAGACTCCACCTTGAATAACCAAAATTAGCAGGGCAGGGTATGGTCAAATTGCTAGAGAAACATGGAAGCCCACCGGGAACAGAATGCAGAGGGAAGGAGGAGAAAAGCAAAAGTTCTCCACTTCTGATGTGGGGAGCCTCATCACATTTTATTGAGAATGCTGGAACAGACTGGGGCTTAAGTTCCATAGGAAAAGACAGGTGTCTCATAGCACCACGCATGCCTTTGTTTCTCACCAATACTTTACACAATTCATGTGTGAAAGCTGGTCCTAGAAATGCCCAGAGGAAAGGCCAGCCCACAGAGGTCTTTCTGTGGTCTCCCCCACTCATGCTTCCTATTGGTTGGTGTGGTCTTACTAGACCGCAGATGCTGGGTGATCCTGAGCCGTGGACACCTACGAAAGGCCTGAGCCATCCTCAAAGGGCAGCTGGCTGGAGGGAGGTGGTGTCTCTTTGAACTTTGGTACGGCCTCCTTGCTGGACTGGGAAGATGACCTTTGGTGGGACCCCTCCAAGAGTCCAGGGGTCCTGGCTGGCTTCCTCACCATTTTGCTTTCTCCCTATCCTTGCAGGATCCCTTTGTGGCATTCCACATCAACAAGGGCCTTGTGAGGAAGTACATGAACTCTCTCCTAATTGGAGAACTATCTCCGGAGCAGCCCAGCTTTGAGCCCACTAAGAATGTGAGACCGTTTCCTGTTTGGAGACCCTGTGGTTGTTGAGGGGCAAGGGGTAGAAGGAAGGCTAGACAGGATCACAGGTAACTACAGTCAGTGGTTCTTGGAGTCTTGAGGTCCCTGATTCTTCTGCATAGTCATTGGGTCACAGGCCCAAGGGAGCGGGGCTTTGGAATCCATGGTTCTCACAAGGCCTCCACCATTACCATACTCATCAACAAGAGACCTATCTTGAGCACTTATTCTGTGCCAAGCATAACCTTATGTAATCCTCAAACATTTAGAGGTGAGAATACTGAGGCTCAGAGAAGTTAAGCGGTGTGGCCAAGGGTCATACTGTTAGTAAATGGCAAAGCAGGGAATGATCACGTGCTCTTAGGCATGATCCCATAGTACCTCCTGTTGTCATCCTTCTTCAGTCTTGCGGTAGGACTGTGGACTTCCCACTGCTACCTTGGTGGGATGTCCCTAAACCTAAAAGGGCCCTGGTCACCAGCAATGTCAGATTGTAGCTAGGAAGAATAACAGCTTCTCCTTCTTTGCTCTTTCTCAGAAAGAGCTGACGGAAGAGTTCCGGGAGCTACGGGCCACAGTGGAACAGATGGGTCTCATGAAGGCCAACCATGTCTTCTTTCTGCTGTACCTGCTACACATCCTGCTGCTGGATGTTGCTGCCTGGCTCACTCTGTTGGTCTTTGGGACATCCTTTATGCCCTTCCTCCTCTGTGCAGTGCTGCTCAGTGCAGTTCAGGTGAGAGCCCTTGTCTTGTCAAGAGCACAGCCATGCTCAGTATCCCTAGGGAAAGCTCTTTGTCCCCCTCAGGAAGCCAAGTTGTCCTTTCCTCTGCTGCACAGAGCTGAGGACATGTGGGAAAGTCAGTGCAAAAAGAGAACACACATTCCATTGTCTGGCTTTCGTCTGCTCATTAGCTGCTTGTGCACCTTCATTTCTCACTGCCTTTGCTGGCTTCTCCCAGGGTTCCCTTCTTCCTGTGGAATTTCTCCACTGAAACTTCACATTCAGGTTCTGTCATAGCCCAGCTGTGTCAAGAACCAAGATTCTGGTTTATCAGCAAAGCTTGGCTTCCTCCCCACAAGACTGTTCAACATGCTAATAATGAGTGGCCTCTGATACTTGGCTGTCCATTTGCCAAGCCTCTGAGTTTGTCACTTTGTCCTTTTCTGTGAATGGATGTTCAGTCCATTGTAAGTCACAGATCTCCAGAGCTAGGGAAACTGACAGACAGGACAGGGAAAGTACTTTGAGCCAACTTTCATGTGAGTTAGTGCCAGAACCAGAGTTAGGGCCAGACTTCCCAACTCCTTTCCCGATGTGCTCAGTTAGGGTACTGTAGCCATCACAGGCCTACGTGGAGGAGGTCAGGGAGAGGGACGCTGGGCTGGTGGGCTGCTCTCAGCACTAACTTTTCTTGCCTAGGCCCAGGCTGGCTGGCTGCAGCATGACTTTGGGCACCTGTCTGTCTTTAGCACCTCTACATGGAACCACCTGCTGCATCATTTTGTGATTGGCCACCTGAAGGTCAGTGGGCTGGGGATGGGCTTTCTGAAACTTTGGTTATTGAAGGGGGACACTAGGCTTTCATACTCATGTCCTTGCTTTTCTAGGGGGCCCCTGCCAGTTGGTGGAACCACATGCACTTCCAGCACCATGCCAAGCCCAACTGCTTCCGCAAAGACCCAGACATCAACATGCACCCCTTCTTCTTTGCCTTGGGGAAGATCCTCTCTGTGGAGGTGAGCAGAGGTATCAATGGAACCTGCCAGCACAGAGGGCTTTGTGGAAAAAGCTCCCAATGCTGTCAGTGTGGGGAAGACACCGGGGTGCTGGCTGCCCAGCTGTTTGGAAGTTGTGGGAAGCAACAGGCAATAAACGGGCTGCCTGGGGCAGAATCACCTGTCCTCCCTAGTGAGTTCAAATCAGCAAAATAGTTGTTGTATACAGGTACACAAGCTGCTAAGGATCCAGAGGATAACCAGATTACTGTGCAAACCCCTGTTCATCGATGGCCTTTGTCGGGTGCTTTTTTGACACTCCTACCCCAGGCAGTCATCCCCATGCTCCACACTCCATTCCTCTCTCTTACACTTCGATACCCTGCTGTGTCACAGTCTTCCCCATCAAGAGCTTGGCTGTCTTACTCGTCTTTGACATCCAGTGTCTGGAACATACATTCACCAAATAATTCTTTCCACCCACCTTATCCCAGTCTCACTTCCAGGGTGGTCATTGTAGGGTCTGAGTTACCATCTGAGGTTGTGAGCAAAAATCGTAGTGCAGGTGCTAAAGGAAGAGAGCCCAAGGGTGGAGATCTGGTAGCCTTTACATGAGCATAGTACAATAGAAAGCTTTGGATGGCCAGCACAGTGCTTTGAAAAGTTAATGTAGCCATGGCCTGGTGGCTCAGTTGGTTGGAGCCTCGTCTTGTACACCAGGAGGTTCTGGGTTCAGTTCCAGATTGGGGTGCATATGGGAGGTAAATGAGGAATGTTTTTCTCTCACATCAACATTTCCCTCAATGAAAAAAACATCCTCATGTGAGGATTTTTTAAAAAGTTAATGTAAAACCCTTTGTCCCAAGGCTCTAGGCTGCAGTCAGAGTTCTGCCAGGTCCCCTTCCACCACTTGGTGACATTTCAGCCTGCCAAGAATTAAACTGTTGTTAAACATGTGTCAGTTCCAGACGTGAGTTCGAGGTGGCCTGGCTCTCCTTTCCTCTCCGGCCATGAGAAGAGCTCTGTGGAAAGACTGACGGCACTGGCTGTCCTGGCACCAGGACCCCCTAGCTTGAAGCTTGTGCCTCACCTGTCTGTAATGCCCTCATTTTCCCGCCTCCTAAACAGGTGTCTAATTGGTTTGCTACATGCCCAACACTGTGTTACAGTCAACAGTGTGCGATGAAGAACCAGCCTGGCCCCTCCTGGCTCAGGCGGCTTCTGAGGGCCATGTGGGTTATTCATCGGGCAGAGTGTGCAACTCTGGTAGCACTTCTGTTGTCACTGTGGAGGGCTGAAAAAAAGGCGAGTGTCTAAGTGGAAGGGGACCTCACACCACTGCCTATATTGCTTCTCGGCACTAGTGTTTGGGGAAATTCCTGTTGGCAGACACTAAAAACAGAATGATTTGAAACCAAAATAGTCCCCCTCCTTTAAAAAAAAAAGTTTTTTTCCTTTGTTGATTTTAGAGAGAGAGAAAGGGAGAGGGAGAGAGAGATAGAAACATCGATGAGAGAGAACATCGATTGGCTACTTCCTGCATGCCTCCCGCTGGGGATTGGGTTCACAACCTGGGCATGTGCCCTGACCAGGAATTGAACCAGCGACCTCTTGGTACATGGGTTGACGCTCAACCACTGAGCCATACTGGCGGAGCTCGCCCCCTAATTTTTTGCCTAGTTATGAGATTTAAGATAGGCTGCCTGTTAGCATATTAGTCAATGCCCGGGCTCCAGGTTGCTTGGGGCTTGGTTCACCCTCTCTGGGTATAGCTTAACTGGGCTGATCCACCAGTGCCTCCTAACTCTCCTGGAGGACAAGAGGTACAGGGGACACTTTGCCCTAAAAAATAACCCCTCTAGCTTCAGAGAGTCAAAGTACAATGGGGCAGTTATTGGAATCATAATGGCATGTGATTGCCATTTAAGGAGGCAACAGTGGATAGGGCTCCCTTCCATAACTGTTCCAAATTAGGAGGCAGAGTTCTGCTCCACCTACCCAGCACATAAGACAGATGCTCCTCTTCCAGTTTTCCCCTCTCAGTTAATGTTGCTTGGGGTGGGATGAACTTCCCCACATCAACAAACCTTGTTAATAGTGCTTCCAAAACATACCTAAATCCATGACTTCTGCATCTCCAGCTTCCCCTCTCCAGGTCTGGTTCATCTAGGGTCTAGATGATTGCTCCAGCCTCCTCACTGGTGTCCCTGCGACTACACCTGCCCCCTACAGTTCCTTCTCCCCACTGCCACTCAGAGAGCCTTTTAAAGCACAAAGCAGATCATGCCACACCCCTTGAAGGCCCCCAGTGGCTTCCTATCACCATTGGAATAAAATCCAAATTCCTCACCATGGGCTTACCAGGGCTTTAGAAGATCCAACATGATCTGGTCATCCCCAGTTTTCTGGCTTTCTCTACCATTCTCCCCTGCTGCTTACTGTTCCTAGTCACACTGACCTTTCTGTCCCTTGACTCTCCCCAGCCTTTGTACTGGCTGTTCCCTCTGCTATAAATGCTCTTCCCCTGAATCTTCACATTGCTGGCTCCTTATCACCACTCAGTTCTCAGTTGTCAGCACCTTGGGGAGGCCATTTCTGATCACCATAGCCAAAACACAACCTCCCTCACTTTGTAACATTTTCTTGTTTTTAATCCGTAACTACCTTGAGCCCTGTTTACAGATTTGTCACCAGTTTAGCAGATTACAAATTCTGTGAGGGTAGGAATTTTGTACTGTTCACCTCTGCATCCTTAGCACCTGGCATGTAGTAGGTGCTCAATAAATACTTGTTTAATAGAGAAAGAATGCTTCACTTAGCAGAAATGCCTTGCACAGTGAGTAGACATATGAAAGAAGAATGAGCAGACATTTTGCTCTGGACAGAGTTCTTCCTCCGCCCTGTGGTTGCCTGGTTGCCAGAACTAAGTGAGGCAAGAAGAGCAGGAGGAGCCACGAAGTGAGACAGCAGAGCTTTGCTGTCATGGTTCTGCTTTCTCACACTAGGGGTTCCACACTGGTGGGTTGACCTGGCGGCCCCAGCCTATCTCTTCAAAATAACCTAAGCTTACAAAATAACCACCATCCACTGGGGAAAGTTGTTCTTGGTACCCTGTCCATGAATATATTGCCAGATTCTGCTTAGCTTTCAAGGGGTTTTATAAAGCTCATCTTGAAATCAAGAGACCAGAAGATTTTGATGAGAAATATCAGGGGCTGGATGTTGAAGGATATTGGCCTGTGTAGGGGTAAAAATGGTTGTTCGTGTAGACTGGTGTGAAAAAAAAGTACAAGATGGGCGAAAGGAAGGGGGAAGTGTGGAGGGGCCTGGAAAACTTGTGACGGTGTCTTTGGATAAATGTGAGGAGTCCTGGGGACTTGAAGACACTGTGTGTATGTGCCTCATGTGGGCATGGGCCTTTGAGCTGCATGTCATGGTGTTGCACACATGGCTTCATGTACCAGGTGCTGGAGGTAAGACTGGGCTTGCTGGAGCCTTCAATAACAACAAGCCAACAACCTCTGGTGTAGGCCTAGGGGCAAACAACAGCCAAGGTCAAAGGGGGAGGGGAATGGGCGAATAGTCTGAGGGTGTTGATTTATGTTTGCTTTTCTTCACAGCTTGGGAAACAGAAGAAAAAGTATATGCCATACAACCACCAGCACAAATACTTCTTCTTGAGTGAGTGTCCCCATCCAACACAGGGAGACTCCCTTGAGAGGGGGTGCTGAAGGGACCTGAGGAGGAGATGACTCTCCAGGGGCTTATGTGTTTTAGGTAAAGGCTGGAGGAAGTACTCTACCCCCAACAGGTTTCTCCCTGCTTGGGAGCAGTCTAGCATCTCACCTAAGGAAAGTCAGCAGTTAGGCTAATGTTTGGTCAAAGGTCATTTGTGCTGGGAGCTAGTTTGTGCTAGTTCCTCCAGTTCCACCCTGGCTTCCACAAGAGAACTGAGTGGTCGGATGGGGCCATCCTGATTAAAACCTCACCTTCAACCTTGTCAAACAGAGACCGGGGTCACTGACCCAGTCAGGGTGCAGTCCAACCCCCAGGGACATGTAGACGTAGCTATGGAGGTTTGGACCCACAGAGGGATTGGAGGAGCAGTTGGAGAAAGGAGAAAATATTTCTGTAGTTGTCTTAAGCTCTTGCTGAAGACTGCTGTTATGTTCCCTGCTTTAAAAACCTGCTCCATGCTTAAAATTTGAGTTTTTCAAGGAAGGGAGAGGATGATTCCATTGATCCCATTTTAGTTCAAAGGAATTGATCCTAACTGCCTATTACCAACCATTCCTACTGGAGAAAGAAGGATGAGGCAGAGGGTGGAGCAGAAATGTCCAGAAGAAAGAATGTTAGAATGCATGACACCTCAGGAGAGAGGAACCACGGGTAGGCATTGTAATGTGGAGGTTATGCAGAGGAGGGATACATACATAAAAGGAAGTGGGTCAGCACACTGGGGATCCACTTCTTCAACTCCCAATGTTAGAGAAGCCCCTCCCCCTCTTTCCACAGCTGACCTCTGGGGCTTTGGGTTGGGTGGCCCAAGCTTATTTCCCAAGCCCAAGGAAGTGAGCTTTCAGGCCATGAGGGATCAGCAGGCCCCACATCCCCTAGTACGCACACACTTTTGCTCCTGTCCCTTTAGCTGCATAGTGGAACACAGGGCAGATGATTGCAAGGACAGGCACAGGAAGGCCCTGGCAAGGACAGGACTGTGGCCAGGACAACTTGGGGAGTATTTGTCATGCCCTTTTAAAGGCATGGGAGCAGAGAAGTTCCATGTGTGAACTTGAATTTTCCTAGCTGCCCTTTTCCACTGGAAAAGATTGCCACTCCCACCCTTTACCCTCCTGGCATCCTCTTGGCATTAATGCCTACCTTCAGTGCCTGCTGGTTCCAATAGATTGAGAAGTGCCAAGGCAGCTGGAAGGGCAAGAGGAGGAGATGGCAGAGATGCTAGAGGCCATCCCTCCAGCACCAACCAGCCCTTTAATGACCCTCATGCTGCTCACACCTCCCTGTCTCCATTTCCTCCCCAGTTGGGCCCCCAGCCTTGCTGCCTCTCTACTTCCAGTGGTATATTTTCTATTTTGTTATCCAGCGGAAGAAGTGGGTGGTGAGTATCCATGGCCCAAGAGTCCCACATCCTTTGTCTCCAGTACCCTGAGGGAGGGGAAAGGGGTTCTCCAGGGGAAATCCCACTGAGGTTTATTCCAGGCCTAAGTTAGAGCAAAATACTGTAATAGAGCCAGGTATAGATAGATAGTCCTTATCTCTTGGTGGGATGATTTGGGCTCAGCAGGCAACCTGACTCCCAATGCCCTATTTCATTCAGCAATATCTCCTGAGGTTCTTGTGCTGGACATAAAGTCAGGGGTGGGCTGGGGAGTGGAGAAAATGAGTAAGAGACAGCACCTACTCCCAGGAAACTTCTGATGAAGCAGGATATGGTTGACACCAAAGAACGGTTCAGGTAGAAGTTTCCGAGATTCCAAAAGGGGCCTGATAACATCTGGCTGGATGAGAAGCATCAGAACAGGCTTTGTAAAGTCATGTTTCCAAATGGCTTTGGAGGACAGAGGTGGGGTGGAGGGAGGATGGACTCTGAGCAGAAAAGCTGGGAATTGAGGGGGGTTTCCACGGGACATTTGGTGGAGGACTCAAGTGTCTGATGCAGAAAAGTGACTGGAGATTTGATCAGGGTACTATATGGACCTAACCACGGTGCTGGAAGATTCATTTGGCAGCATGATGAAGGGATAAAGGACTTAGATGGGTTGGGAGGAGCTGGAGGTAGGGAGACCCTGTAGGCTATGGCACCTGTGAAGGCAACAGGCAAAGAGGGCTGGGGGTGCCACTAGGAACAGAAGGAGGGAGCAATGGCACTAGATGCTACTGGACTGGGCACCTGGGAGGGACACTGACAATGACTGAGTGCTCTAGTCTGCCCAGGAGAGTGGCCACACCACGCAAACAAATAGACGAAGTGAGAGGAAAAGGAAAAAGTGCTTTGTGATGATCGTAACGCTCTGCCTCTCCCTGCAGGACTTGGCCTGGATGATTACTTTCTACGTCCGCATCTCCCTCACCTATGTGCCGCTGTTGGGAGTGAAGGGCTTCCTGGGCCTTTTTTTCGTGGTCAGGTAGTACTAGATGGGGGAGTAGGGACTGGCAAAGAAAAGGAGATGTTTGGAAGTAACCAGTTTGGTCTGGAGGTTGTGCTGGGGCTTTGGGTAGCAGCGGGTATTTTAGGTGTTGGCTTGGGAAAGTGGTACCTGAGGGAGAGTGAGAACTCTGGGCTCTGCTTGTATGGTTTTTATTTGTGTGGTATACCTACCAGGTTCCTGGAAAGCAACTGGTTTGTGTGGGTGACACAGATGAACCATATCCCCATGCACATTGATCATGACCGGAACAGGGACTGGGTCTCCACCCAGGTAAGGGACGGTCACTTGGAAGACCTAGGCATGACAACTAAGAAAAAGGGTGGGTGGGCAGAGACTCAGGGCAGGCGGTGGGGGTGGGGGCAGTAACAACAACAAAAGTTCCCAGCAGCATTGCCTCTCCAGCTACCATGTGGAGAAGGGAATGGCCAGGGACAGTCCCAGTCCTCCTCAGACTGCTTTGCTTGAGAGGGCTGGACTGGCCTTGGCATCTGTACCGAGCCATGCTCTCCCCATCACCTTTTCCTCCAGCTCCAGGCAACATGCAACGTCCACAAATCTGCCTTCAATGACTGGTTCAGTGGACATCTCAATTTCCAGATCGAGCACCAGTATGTAGGGAGACCTGGGAAGCAGGATCTTGGGCAGGGTCCATGCGTGGGGGGTGAGTGGGAGCAGAGGAATCAGAGCCACTGACTGTCTGTTCTCCCTGAAGTCTTTTCCCCACAATGCCTCGACACAATTACCACAAAGTGGCTCCCCTGGTGCAGTCCCTGTGTGCCAAGCATGGCATAGAGTACCAGTCCAAGCCCCTGCTCTCAGCCTTCGCAGACATTGTTCAGTGAGTATCTGAGCCTGGGAAGATGGCTGGTGGGGAAGGAAGAGGGCAGGGCAGTGGGGCTGGAGCAACAGCAAGATTTCCTCAATGCAATGGAGGTCACCAAGGCAAAAGCAGGGTGTTCTACAAGTCTTGTGGCCAGGTAAGTCCTTTGCTCTCAGCGCCATGGCTCAAGCTCTTTCTGACAAAGGGGAGGAGAGCGTTTACATGGAAGAGTGCCTTAAGTCATGGAGATAGGCGTCCAAACATCTGTAAGAGCTTCCCCACTACATTTCTGATGGGTGGTTTGGTTTTGGGGCTTGGCTCTGCCCCTTCCACCTCACTGCCTGCTCCTATCTTATCCCTACAGCTCACTGAAGGAGTCGGGGCAACTCTGGCTAGATGCCTATCTTCACCAATAACAGCCCCCCACCTGGAAGAGGAGCCTCTGGAGCCTGAGTAGAGGAAGCTTTAGGGAGCAATGCCACTACACATCTAATATTCAAAGGGGTTGGTTTGAGGAGATAAAGGTTCTGGCTCAAACCCTTCCCCTTTATCTTCTAGGCAGATTTATGACCCAAAGGGGGGGGGCATGTAAGCCCCATGGAAGGGATGAAGCTGTTGGGGCAGGGCAGGGATGTGAGTTTTGTTTCTGTTTTCTAGTATGTCAGATGCAGATGGTTGGTGAGCAAAGAGGGAGTCAGAAGTTGTTAGAAGAATAGGGAGCACTGAGCCCAGAAATCAAAGGAGATTTAGCAATGAAATTCTACCCAGGATGGGTGAGGTCACCTTACTAGCCCACTTCTCAGTGGGAGCTCAGCTCACTTTAGGGCTGTGACCTTCATTGCCTCAGGCTCCTGGAGAAGCAGTTTCTCCACTTTCAGAAGCTGGCAGAGCAAAGGCCAAGTATTGAAGACATCTGGCCCCTAAGGATCCTGCCACTATTGATTTTGGTCCCATGTTCCATCCAGAGTACCAAGGGAGCATTAAGTCCTAGGTCTTGCCAAAAGTGGCTAGCAGAGAGTTGCTAGCCATAAAACTCCCTTCAGCATTTGCTTCACCTCTTCTAACCAGCACCTAAGGAGCGAAACACTCCTAGGACAGGGAGTCTACTTTGTGCTCCATGAACAAGTGAGCCAAAGGGGCAATTTAATTTTCTCCTCCTTAGAAACAAGTCGGGGCTCCTAATGGTTTCTCTTCGCTTCCCTACCTATAATTCCACGTTTAATACGATAGCAGTCAGTGGGCACAAGTGACCCAGCTGAGAGATTCTGAATTACCAGCCATGAGGAAAACACAAGTTTGATCATAAAGAATATAAGGGCTGTAAGAAATTTTCTTAAATTATTTACAGTATTACTGTTGAGCAGGAGCAGTGGGGTTAAATGTAATCACTTCATAGTTCTAAACCAGAAATAGGAAGATAAAAACAGAAGTTCCTGACCATCTGTTGCTGTCTTTAGGCACCTTACTCAGTCAACTCTGTTCAAGTATCTTTCTCTGCTGGAGAGCAGGTAGGAATTTAGGATGAGCTCTTATCAGTCATACTGATGTGCAACTTTTTTAATCTCCTGGTTTTTAACCTGTTAACCGGGGAATTTCCTTTTCACTGTATGCAACGTTTGATGTATTTATACGTCCTGCTCGGTTAACAGGTTAAAAGATAAACAGTTTAACCCATCCCTAGAGAGCAAACCTAGGAATGTGCTCCAGGAGTCTCACCTTAACTCCAGGGCTTGTCATCAGCATACCTTATTCCCTCCCCACATCCATGGCCATTCAGTCCAGGTGAGAGGAGTGTTCACCTTTTCAAAAGCAGCTACTGTAAGCACATTGAGCATTTGGGACACCAGGAGGAATGACCACAAAGTAGGGCAAAGCAGAGCCCTGGGAGAATTTGCGTTTAGATTTGGGAGATGAAGGTCCTAAGGCATGTTGGGAGGGGACTAAAGGTACCACCTGTGGAAAGGGTATCATGGTTACTTAACAGTTTGTCAAAACAAAGGAAAAGTAAACAAATGGGGGAGAAGAGGCTGCAGAAGAGTTCAGATCTTTTTCATTTGGGCAGAACCTGGCTTAAATTAGAAGCAGAATTAGAGTTCTGTTTCCATTGGCTTCCTCACTCCAGAATAGGTACTATCCTTCCCCATCCCTCTGTTCCCTGTGACCAGCCTTCAAGCTATTTGGCTTTGGGCCCAGGCCGAGCAAACCCAGCAAAGCTTATTGAGCCAAGTCCAAATCCTCAAAGCACCTCAAACATGTGGCCTTCTCTCCTTAGCCTAGACCAGTGTGGTCTCACATGGCCAAAACAGGACACCGGTGACAAAAGGCTCAGACTATTACAATGGTAACATGAATGGTCTCAAATCCAATGACAGCTGAGAAAAACAGGCTTTGACAGGACAAGTCACCTCCCATTACAGACTGGCAGAACTAACATTCCAACTCTTGAAAAATTCCCAACTTCTGTTTGTCTTTGTTACTTTCATCTTCCTTCCACTTTGCCGGGGGCATTTTCTTTAAGCCCAACATCAGTATCCTTTTTGTATGTCCCAATTTTGTTACCACGTCCCAATGGAGTAAAGTTGAAAAATAAAGTTAATTTTGACCAAATGACGGCTATTCATTTGTATCCCACAATGCTCCTCTGCATGTGTCAAAAGGACTCCCTGTGCTTACTGTCTACTTCTGTGGTTCCAGCTTCTTTCTGAACACGAGTCCCCACACAACCTTCCCTTTGCATAGGCCCCTTGGGCAGAAGGAACATTAGGACCTCCAGAAAACACCAGAGCACAGGTGGACTATGGCAAGGAAAAGAAAAGCCAACTCCTTCCCATGACACCCGTATGTTCAAACACTACATACAATAGCTAGGTTTTACTTGCATCCCTCCTCTCATGAGACAGTGCCCTTGCCCTTGAACTCATTTCTAATCTCAGTATGGGTGGGTAGTCCCCATTGAGTCTCCTTTTTGTCTAAACCCTTCAGTGCGGTCATAATGCCTCAGTGCTGGACTACAAAGCAATTCCTTCTAACCTCCCTTCTATTAGAACAGCAATCTTTGAGCAAGCATATCAGAAACATGCTAAATAAAAATTTGTAGCAGAATCGGTTTTCCCTGCAGAGTGCAGCAGTTAATAAACATCTAGAAAAGACTAGGCAACTCAACTTCAAAGAGGGAAACAAACCATTCTACCTGCTTGTCTACCACAGGTTACTCGCCCTTAACTACAGCTATTGCACTGGGGCAGTAACTCCTAAATTGTGGTGGAGGAACAAACATCCCTCTACCCTCAAGGTTCTGGTTGGTATAATCAAATAGACGAGATTAGCAAGAGAAAAAAAACAATTTAACCTATTTGTATGGGAACCCCACACACGAGGAGACTCCATATGCACTAGAGGTTCAGAGATAAAGGGAACATGGGTATATAAAACATTCTGAGCGAGGGGTTAGGTAAAGTGCCTTGAGGCTTCAAAGGGTAATTGCAGGATAAGAGCAGACTTCACCTTTTTCCTAAAAAAATAAATATTCAAATGCAAAAAAAAAGTCCTGACTTACAGAGAGTTCAAGAGATGTTATCTCTGATAATCTCTTAACAGGCAAGGCCCCTAATTCAAGTTCTGGGGAATTTAGGTAGGGGGAGAGCATTCTCTTGAGCCTGTGGCAGAATAATCTGCATTTCACATATGTACATTTTAGGGTGACTCATTCTGACCTCCCATAAAATCCTACCACCTCTGGGACCCATCACCATTACCACAGGCTTATGATCAAATTACCTGAATTAGAAAATGGAGCTCAAATAAGGGTGTGGCTTGGCTTGATGGGGAAAAATGGTTTTATCAATTGGAGTCAGAGCAGTGAAAATAAAGACCCCTGTCCTCAGGATAGAACTTTTGTCTACTCCAATGGTTTTCTGAGTCCCCTAGTTACAACTATCTTTTTCGTACTTCAACCAGAGGAGCTCTTATAGCCTGAGATTCATTCCACATAAGATTTTCATTTTCTATCTGCTTTATCTGTCAAGACATCAGGTTAAATTTCAGACCACTTAAGTGTCTTTGTTAACTTCAAATGGTAGTGACAAAAATGCTAAAAAATTAGTAAATCAAACAGGACAGCTCCCCACCAAGTTTTATCAAGATTATAAAAACTTGCAAAGTATAAAAACATCCCATCTCTGTGAGAAACAGCAACCTGAATCTGATGTCACAAAAGGAACAATTGATTTTTGAATGGCAGTTTTCACAACTTATAAACTGGTAAATGATTGAATGCTACAGAGTAATTGATCTAAATTGTGAGGCTTTCTCAAAGGAGTTCATCTCACATAGTAGGTAGAAAACTGCAAAGTGTTCCTAGCAAGATAAACTGGCATCCTCCAAACGTCTGAAGTACTACCCAAACTGCTTTGGTCATTCAGTGGGGCATAGCGCCATCTTGTGGCCACACTCAAGCCACCTGTTAATAGGGTACAATTCCAGCATGTTAGAGTAAAAAGAACACTACATTCTGCCAATTTATAGTTTTATTGACTCTTTTTTCATGTTTAAAACAAAAACAGCACAGGACAACAGCATCTTATTCCAAAGTCTCAACTCAGTTGATTGCCTCAGAGAGGCCATGAGAACTAAGTCACCTTATGCCTCTGAATAACTACTTTAAAGGTTCAAGTTACATATCAAGTTCAAGTTTCTGCCCACCCCAGGACACACAGCCAGTAATCAAACCCATGTTTCCAGCTCCAGGGACTCCAGCTCTCCACCTGTCTTATTTCTCAGTAGCTCTTCCTATCTGTTAAGACTGAATCTTCCTGCTGGCTATCTGTCCTTCAGGGTGGGTCAAGGATGAACCAGAGAGAGAAGTGCAGTCTGGTTCCACCTTCACTGGCTAACAGTTGGCCAGCCAGGAAATCATTTCCATAGCCTTTTGTCTCCACCATTTATCTTCCTCTCCCTTCTTTAAACTTGTTGCTATCACTTTTATGTAACAGTGGATTCAGTGTTCATTAAATGGACTGAAAGGTGGTTTGAGCCTGACATACTTTCCTGAGCTAAAAAATAAAACAAAGTACCTCTGTGGCCTTTCTGCCAAAAGATCAAGTAAAAAAGGGAAAAGCACTAATGAGAAGGGTAGTCCCGGAGAAGCAGTGCAATCCCCTCCTTGCCCCCATGGAGGTTTCTCTAGCACTAGTTCTTGAGGGTAGAGGTCATACTGTGGGGTCAAGGAGGTATAATGAAGGGAAACTCATTTATTTCCCCCTTTTAAACTTCCTCACTGCCCCAGTCTTTGCCTTCTTCTTAGCAGATCCCTTGGGTTCTGGCTCCTTGCGCTTAGCTGATGACAGAGAGCCAGTCACTTTGAAGAAATCTTCCAGGCGGCCCTGGGTGCTGCCTTGGCGACTTTTGTTCAGCCGCTTGACCCCACTGCGGATTCGCTCCTCAGAGAACTGCTTTTCACCACACATAAATTTGACGAGCTCTTCCTCATTTGGCTCACTCCACTTCAGCTCCACAGATTCTGGGTCCAGCACCTCAGGGTCTAAGAAGAGTTGCTGGGCCTCCTTGTGGAGCCAATTTTCCGGCACGGGGTACTTGTTGGGATCAAGTCGACGTACAATCTCCTCGATGCTCTTATGCTTCTGGATGAGGTCAACAGCTCTCTTGGGCCCAATGCCCCGAATGCTTTCACAGTAGTCACTGCCCAGCAAGATGCACAAGTCCACAAACTGCTCCTGGTTCAGGCCCAGCTCCTGTAGAATCCGGCTCAGGTGAAATTCCTGGATGGGCAGCTTCTTGGCCTCGCTGGCAGTCAAGTGTCGCATGAGCACAGGGCTGCCGAAGGTCAGACAATCCATGTCCTCTGTGGCCGCAGCGTAAACTTTGCCAGCCTTCACCAGGGCTGCACAGCTGGCCTCTGCCTCACTGGGTGCATCGAGGTATGGGATGCCCATGAGGCTCAGTAGATGCTTGCACTCATCATTGTGTTGCTTGGTGACCTTCACCAGTCGCTTAGTAAACTTCTCCACATCCTCCTCAGCCCCAGCATCTTGCGCCTGCTGCAGCTGCTTCTCCGCCTCAGCCCGCCGCTCGCTGCGTTTGGCCAGCTCACCTGACTTGAGCTGTGGTGGCTTGCCATCAAAAACATACACGGGCTTGATGCCATTCTCTATCATGCGGATGGTGCGGTAGAACATGCCCATCAGGTGGCTGGTGGTCTCACCCTCCTCATTCTGTAGCACATCGCCCCCCTGGCGAACAGCAATGAGGAACTGATAAATGCTCATGGAGGCATCAATAGCCACCTTGCGGCCGAAGTAGCTCTTGATATCATTCTCCCGGATGGCACTGGGGGCCACATCAGCAATCAGTTTGGCCAGGCCTTGAATACCCATCTCAATACAGAGGAGGAACAGCTGAAAAAGAAAGGCGAGTAAGGCAAGGAGGAACTTAAAGAATACAAAATAAAAAGGTATCATTGGTACTATCTCATCAACTTCATGCCTTCAGCTAAACAAATTTAGCACAACAAAATGGACACTAAGTCAGCACTGCAGAAGATGAAAAGATGAACACAAGGTTTCCACTGTTAAGAAACTTACAGTCCAGCAAGGAACTCCACTCAATCAATACTAAGGCTTCCTAACTGAAATGGGTGCTAAGAGGAATAAGATGCTGTTCATGCCCTTAGGGACTTTAAGGCAGCAACAGGACTAGCATGCAATAAGGGCTACAACAGATGTCTGCATTAAGGATCATGCAAATCCAGAGTGTGTCTGGCCCAAGTTGAGGAATCCAGGGATCATAAAGGCAGAACTGAGCCCTGAAGGACAGGCAAATATTGGTTAGACAAAGGTGAGATGAGAAGGATACCAAAGCAACCATAATGCCCGACTGAATGTGTAAAGTGGTACAACAAACATACAAGTATATATCTTGCCAATATGTGAAAACTACATTCATTCCTCCCCAACTCACTCCTCCGCCTCCCTCCCCTTAGCAGCTGTGATGGTTAGTTTTCTGTGTCAACTTGGCTAGACTACAATATCCAATTATTTAACCAAATGCTAGTCCAGCTGTTGCTCTGATGGTATTTTACAGATGTGGCTAACATCTATAATCAGTTGACTTTAAGTAAGAGATTGCTCTCCATAATGGGGGTGGGCCTCATCCAAGTCATCTGAACAACCTCAACAGCAAAAACAGGATTCACAAAGAAGAAATTCTGCCTCAAGACTGCAGCATCAGCCCTGGCCAGTTTGGCTCAGCGGTTAGAGTGTCGGCCTGCGGTCCAGAGAGACCTGGGTTCGGTTCCTGCTAAGGGTGCGTACCTTGGTTGCAGTCTGTCCCTGGCCCTGGATGGTCGTGCAGGTGGCAGCCACTTGATGTGTCCCTTCATATCGATGTTTCTCTATCTCTTCCTCTCTCTCCCTCCCACTCTATCTGAACAAAAAAATGGGAAAATGTCCACAGGTGAGGATAAAAAAAAAAGACTGCAGCATCAACTCCTGCCTGAGTTTCCTGCCTGCCAACCTGACCTACAATTTAAAAACTTGCCAACCCCTACAATCACCTGAGCCAATTCCTTAAAATACATCTCTTTATTTAAAAAAAAGTGTTTTTTTTTCTTTTTTGATGTTTAGAGAGAAAGGGAGAGGGAGACAGAAACATCAATGAGAGAGCACTGACTGGTCGCCTCCTGCATGCCCCCCACTGGGGATCGGGCCCACAACCTGAGCATGTGCCCAGACTAGGAATCGAACTGGTGACCTCTGGTGCATGGGTCGACGCTCAATCTCTGAGCCACACCAGCCCGGCAACCTATGCACCAAGAGGTCACTGGTTCGATTCCCAACCAGGGCACATGCCCAGGTTGTGGGCCTGCAGGAGGCGGCCAGTCCATGTTCTCTCTCATTGATGTTTCTATCTCTCTCTCCCTTCCTCTCTGAAAATCAATAAAGAATAAAAACAGACATTAAAAAAAATTTAAGAAGGGATTTTTCTGTGTGTCATTCACTTATTTCTTTTTCTCAACTGCATTTTTGGTTTTTTTTGTTGCTGTTAATCCTCACCGGAGGATATTTTTTCTATCGATCTTATTTTTTAGGAAGTGAAAAGGAGTGGGAAGGGGGAGAGAGGGACCTTGATGTGAGAGACACATTGATTGGTTGCCTCCTGCACACCCCAACCAGGCCAGGGATTGCCACCCAGGTACGTGCCCTTGGCTGGGAATGGTCACCCCCGTGCTCCCGTGCACGGGCCAACGCTCTAGCACTGAGCTTGCTGGCCAGGGCTGTGCGTCCCCCACTCGAAGTCATCATGCACCCACGGGCGGTCGGGGTCTCGCAGGGCAGGAAACACTGCACTAGGCCCCTGACTGTTCTCATTATTCCCTCACAGCGTCCTTCCTAAATAAAGCAGTTACCCTGCCCCGGTCCTCCTAGGTCCAAACGCTCGGCGCGGCCTCAAGGTGCTCCGGGCTCGGGCGCCCTCCCACCTGCAGCGGGTCGCCGCGGCCCCCAAGGCCCGCCTTCTCCACTTCGGCCGCGCTGGGCCCGCCCCTCCCGCCCCTCCCGCAGGTCCATCTCGTTTCCGTTCCCACGGAGGCCGTTCGAGTGCGGTCCTTCTCCGCGGCAGGACGGCAGGACGGCCGGACGCCACGCCTGTCTGCGAGGGTCCCGCCCGGGCTCTGCGAGCGGCGGGGAAAGATGCCGCGGCGCGCGGGCGCTCCGTGGACGCTCGCTCCAGCCCCACGCGCGGCTCCGGCGCCGGCCACGGCGCGGCCTAAACTGCTCCTCACCCAGGGTCCTGGTCACAGTACACAGCGACCCGTGGCGCGGAGCGCCGTCTCCTTCCCACGGACGAATCAAGAGCTCGCGGTGACGCGCCCCGCCCTGCTCCCACGTCCCACGGCGGGAAAGAGCGGGACCGCACTCGCGCCCCGCCGCGCGCGGCAGCCGCCCGGCAGCACCCAGCGCAAAGCAGGCCCCGCCGCCCGGAGCCCTTCCCCAGGCCTCACCTGGTCTTCGGGGCGCGAGGGCTGGCAGCTGGCGCTCGGTGCGGCGCCGCCTGGGGCAGTGCTCCGTCCCGCTCCCGCCTCAGCTCGCCGCGGGTCGTCTGCGCTCAGCGCCTTCCAAAGCCCGCGCTCCCGTCACGTGACCCGCTGCCGCGCACAGCCTCCTGGGAAGTGCAGTGCAGGCCGGCCCGCTCGGCCCGCTCCTCTCGCAGCAGACGGCCCCCGCCGGGCGAACGGACTCCTTCAGGGCCCTCCCCTCCCCCGCCGCGTGCGCTCACTGTCCGCAAGCTCCTCGCAGGCCCCCAGCTCCCGCTACACTCGAAACAACGGGACTACAAGTCCCAGAATGCCACTTGCGCCGCTGCCACTTCCTCTTCCGGCTGAGCGGCGCGCCGGCTCCTGCCGACGTGTTTTTCCGGTGGCGGAGCGGCAGATCCTCCTGTGCCCGGCAGAATGGTGAGGGGGCTGAGGGGCGTTTGGAACAGACCTGTGAGGACCCCTCGGGGCCCGTCCCACACCCCTTCCTCTCGCGGAGGCCTTGGACGCCCGTGATCCAGAGAGCGGGAGGCTCCCGTATCCTCGGGCTTGGGTTGAGGGGCGGGGAAGCGAAGCCCTTCCGTGGACTCCTCAGGCTGAAGTTTTGATCTCGCCAGGGTTAAGGGTGGGGGGACGTGAGGTGCATTTGTAATATCTTGGCGCTTCTGTCGCTCTCGTGACCATGCTGCACTATCTCGACATCTGTTCCCCTGCCGAACTCGTACTCAGACCTCACGGCCCTAGGCAAATGTCACCTTCCTGGTGGGGCGTTTCCAACTCTTTCAGGCAGCTGGCCTGCCCTGGGAGCTGCCACCACCTCCGTGCAGACCTCTTGCCACGTGTCCTGGGCTTCACTGTTGTCTGCCACGCCTCCTGTGACCGCTGTCTGACGGGCCTCCAGCCCTGAAGCGGTGTCTATTCATCTTTGTATCCCCAGTGCCACACAGAGGGCCTGCAGTCGGAGGCGCAGTAAATGCAGCGATTGTCTTTATCATGGGGGGGGGGGGCATACATGTTTACCGAATTGAATTCCAGTGTCTCTTAGAACAATGGGGTCAGTGCAACTTCTCTGGGGTTGTTATGTTCAAGATTTTAGAAGCTTTGGCTGGTGGGTGACAATGGAAGTTAACATTAGTGCAGAACTGTATGTTTACAGTCCTGTTTCACAGGCATTACCTCATAACCTTCCCTAAACTTCGGGAAGGAAACAAATACCTATTGAGCAACCACTGTATGCCCGGCAGTAGCCAGGAGCTTTGACATTCGTCATCTTTCTTAAGTCATACGTCAACCCTGGGAGATGTTATGATTCCTTGACCGAGACTCATGTTATTCAGTAGAGCCAGAATTTTAACCGATATCTTTTGCCTGTAGAGCCTGAGATTCTGTAATAGTGTAGTGAGAAAAATACAGAATTAGACGTTGAGATCTGGGTACCAGTCTGGTGTCCACAGGCATGGGTCCATAAAACTCCTAAAATTATAGGCAGACTTTTTTAAATTACGGATTTTAGAGAGAGAGAGAGGGAAATATCAGTTGTTGTTCCACTTATTTATCCATTCATTGGTTGATTCTTGTGTGTGCCCTGACCAGAGATTGAACCCGCAACCTTGGCATATCAGGACGATACTCTAACCCAGGGGCGGGGAATGTCCGGCCTGCGGGCCATATCAGGCCTTCGAAATCAGTACCAGCTACCTCACATGCCTCACCAAATTAGCCCGACCAAATACAGCAGGCTAATTTTTAACTTGATAATTTTGTATAGCCCACGAATGATGTTATAAATATCCGAATGGCCCTTGGCAGGAAAGGTTCCTCACCCCTGCCTTACCAGTTGAGCAGCCCGGTCAAGGCCAGACTTTTTATGGGTGGTTTTTCTCAGGCAGAGAGTCCATACCTTTCATCAATTTTTTTCATAGGAGCCAGCAGCCTCAGGAAATGTTTGATTTATAGCTGATTAGTCGCCTTCTGTGTCCTAGCCTCTAACCCTCAGCTGCCCTTCTTGTTTCATGTTGAAAAGATGAAGAGCCCCTCTAGTTTCAGATGTAATTGTTGTCATTCCCAAACTGAATCACTTGGTGTTGGTTCTGAAGGATTTCCGTATTTCCCAGGCGGAAGAAGGCCTTAAACAGTCAGAGCAGCACGAGGCTCCTTGATGACCCCGTCATCCCTCCGGGTTGCAGTCGTGGTATTCTTTCATGGCTCTGATCTCATGCCTTTCCCCAGGAGCTCGAGGCCATGAGCAGATACACCAGCCCAGTGAACCCAGCCGTCTTCCCCCATCTGACCGTGGTGCTGTTGGCCATTGGCATGTTCTTCACCGCCTGGTTCTTCGTGTATCCTTCCACTGAGCAGTGATTGGGAAGCTGTGGGAGTCAGTGATGTGGGAAATTGAGGCAGAAACCATGCTGGGTGCATGCACCCTGCCAATTTTGTCCTGGTTGGGGGTGGAAGAAGGTAAGGAGGTTGAGGGAAGGCTGTTGATGCTCAAGGTCAAGTTGTGGCCTTATCTTTCTAATTTATGTGAGCTCAGTTTGCTCTTCAGATTTCTAGGACAGTAAATAGAGGGCCTGGCCGGACTGGAGGCTGAGGCTAGATCTGAAGTTGGAAAAGTGGTATAAGGAGGGGTGTCGTCTGTTGTCAGGAGATCTTAGGACTAGTCTAGCTCCACTTCTGACTAGCTGTGTGACCTGGGCTAAGTGATCTAACCCCTCTGGGCCTCATTTTTTCCTGGGTAGTAGAGGGTTAGTATGGAGCAGTAGAGTCTAAGTCATCTCCTGGGCCTCTGCCTGGCTGCACCAAGCCAGACAAACCTCCCAGAAGTTGCAGTGGGCACGCTTCCTGCTCTGTGCAGTCCCTTTGCTTCTCCTTAACCATCTTGCCAGTTATGAGGTCACCTCCACCAAGTACACTCGGGACATCTACAAAGAGCTCCTCATCTCCTTGGTGGCCTCACTCTTCATGGGCTTTGGCGTCCTCTTCCTGCTGCTCTGGGTTGGCATCTACGTATGAGCTCCCAAGGGTAAGAGTTGTTACAGGGTGGGACACTGGAGAAACTTCCCACACCCACATCAGTGGGGTCCTCAGACCTGCACGACCCCTTGATTGATAGAGATAGACTCAGCAGAATGGATAGGGACACCAGACACATGTGCCTCTTTCCCTGTTCCTAACGGGGATTTGAGCCAAGTGTGACCTCCTTTGTCAGTTCTAAAGTGTGTACACTGCCCAGGGCCTCAATCTGGCTTTGAGATGTACTACACAGGGCTGTGGGCACAGGCTTCTTGTGTTTCGCATTTGCATTCTTACATATCCTACACCAGTAACTTGGAGAGGCTGCTGGGGAGTGGGCCAGATGGGGGTCAGGGTCTGAGACTTAAAACTTGCTGCAAGGAGTATTGTTTTGATTAGTCTGAATGTTTGGGCCATTGAAACAAAACTTGACTAAGTGATAAAAGTAAAACAAACAACCTTGCTACAGATAATCCACCAAATAGGTCATGAGAATTGGCTCTGATGGCTCAGCTTCAGGGTGAGCCCTCAGCCCTGGCCACTGGAGCATAGGGGCTCAGGAAGAAAAGTTGGTGGAAAGGAGGGTCTTTGGTCTGATTTGATATCCCTCTCCTCTTTCAGGTTCCAACCAGGCAGCCTCACCGAATCCCTGCTTTTGTAAATTAATTTTTTTACTATTGCTGGAATGGTCCTGCTGCTGCTCACAATAAAGGCAGATGTGTGACCATCTTGTCTGGTGCTCATTCTGCGGCGTGGGAGTGGGTGCTGGTGCTGAGACCTACCTGACTTCCCCAGTCCCAACCCTTCCCATTTCTCTCCTGCCTTTCAGACGGTTCCTGCTGCTGGGATGCCTGCTCTCTATCTACGAGGGGCCAAGGGGCTGTGGGAGGCGTGTCTCGTCCTTGTCATTGAAGGCTTACCTGTGGACAGGAAGGGGCAGGCCTACCCTCTTCTGTTTCTAGAGCAAACTTCGCTAGAATCCACACCAATCAAGTCTGCCTGGAGCCAGTCCTCTGCTCCAAATGTAGCCACTCTTCTCTGAGCTGGGAACCCTGAAAAGGCTCAGCTTGTCCCCTAAAAAGGCTTTTCCCTGGGATGGCTGCTTTTAACCCAGATAGGGCAGTGGTAGGCCCCTGGGGTGTGGCTAGGGATGGGGGCTGCTGAGTCCTGTTCCCAAGCCTAGCATGAAACAGAAGGATAGTGGGCTGTAAAGTTTCCATCTGGCCGAGGGACCCCAGATATTCCTGTAGGTCCTAGCCCCACAGATGACTCCATCTCCCACCAGAACAATCTCAAGAAGAGACAGGGAGTAAACTCAGATACAAAGCCGTATTTATACATTTATTTATATGTGTGTATTTACTTCAGAATAAAAGAACAGTTCAGGGGACAGGAAGCAGACAGGCCCACGGCTGCATCCCTCTGCCCACTCCAGAGTCAGAGTTGGTACACGATAAATATGAGTCAGAGCTGGGGGACGGGAACTGGGAGTTAGCGGGAGAGGGCGCTCTATGCACACGCAGGCTTTTACAGGAGGTACAACAGGGGCGGGGATCATGTGCATGGAGAGGCCCTATGTACAGCTTGAAGCTTGGGGGAGATTAGCCCAGTGGCTACAGGAACAAATGCCAAAGGGGAGAGAGAAAGGGAGAGACAGCTGCTGGACCCCAGGTAGGGCATGGCCGAGGCACCCACTTGCCAGCACCAGCCGGGCAGCTGCCAGCTTCCAGCAGGTGGTCCATTCACTCTCCCTGAGGCCCGTTCACCTACTGGGCTTAAGGCAACTTTGGTCCAAGGTTGACCCTGCTCTAGCAGCTTGGAGCCCCTGCTTGGCCCCAACCCCTGCACTGGGGATCCCCCACCCCAGGCATGGAAACAGCCAGCTGCTAACCAGATTGGGGCTATTTTGTGTCCAGATGGGCTCCAGGGGGCAGTGGAGGGTCAACTTTCCAGTTAAGAACTGAGGGGTTACAGTCCAAGAACATACACCCCACTACAGAAGCCCCA